CACTCTTTCTGTTATTTTGGTGCCGCTCTATTCAAGTCTGTTTGCACCGAGTGGAAAAGACATTTGGGAAAATGCGATAGCTAACAGCCTAAGTTTGCCGTAACCTGTATTCCCCCCACTAATATATTTTAGGTGTATTAAATAACACTTTGCCTTTTGTTAAAGGCTTACTCCCCCCCATTTAGAAAAACGTTCTAATTCCCTTTTTGCTTAAGTGGATAAAAATTATCATAATTACAGAACAGACTTCTGGAAGGAAGATGAAATTTATATTCACTGAATTCATGGGCCTGATTATGAAGGAAAATGGGAGACGGTGCACCATCCCAGACTGGAACGCATCCACGTCTCAGGCAAGCAAAACAACAGAGAAGCTGGTTACGTGAACGAGTGCTTTCCCCCCAGAACGCGTGTTAGGGTTTGTTCGCTGGTACATGTCACAGCAGAACCAGTTCTGCCTCCTGCAGCACGCCAGATTGCTCGACCTGTTCTGCAGCAGCAGAGCCCAATATTTGCCAAGATTAATCACAGGCAGGGAAAGGCCTATTAACTAGACTGGGGTTACAGCTGTGAAGTGTTACTTTAAAATAGTAACTGCTATTGAACCCAAGCAACAGCAGGTTTCGGAGTGCCCAAAGCAGTGAGCGATCCCATGGGTGTGTTCAGAACATGCCACACAAAAGCACTTGGACGTGGAGGGAACAAGGCTGAGGCCACGAGCACCATCTTGCACTGAAAAAACCTCCCGAGTGTTAGGGGGAGACGAGTACAGAGCAGTACCAGTGTAGTTTCTGCATTCTTGTAGCTGCAAAGCTACCAAAGCCCGACGGCCTCTGCACGAGTGCTACACTTCAGAGGTACAAGACTCACAGTCACCACAGAAGGAAGCATTAGCACAGTTGCACATACAAGCTGCTGATCTCACACCCTCCCTCCTCGCCCCTTCCCCGTCACAGTTGAGACCTCCTGCACTTACCTCTTACAAACAAACGCTGAGCAACCTTTAAAAAAATGTAAATCGGCTCATTTGTTAATAAAGTGACAATAAACATAAGGAGTGAAGTCCCCTGCATTATTTCACAATGTGTTTCTTTAGTGTCCCAACATGCAGTTTCCTATTTAGCAATGGGTCACCAAGCTGTTAGGAATAAAGAGCAGGTTCTCGTCACACACATCAACCCAGTAAGTGAAAAGAGCTCTCTGTAGAGCAACACACTTGACAATTTTTAAGGAAATTATTTCAGACCCAAATCCAATCGCAGACAGCAACACAGTAGTTTTTGACACCGTCCAAGCCCATGTTGTGTTGTACGCCCCATTTAAGACAGGCGCTTGCAGGCACCCAGAAGCTCACAGCTGGTCCCATTGCCAGTGTGCCAGCTCCAGGATGTGAGCAACAGAACCGAGATGCTGAGATGATCAAGTCAGCCAATCCCTTCCCAGTGGGAAAACCCTCATCTGGCAAGCAGTAAGACCCAGAAAGGCCCTGCCATCCTGCTGTGACTTCAGTTCCCCCGACATGGCAGAGGGATGTTCTAGAGTGGCTTTGCAGTCAAACTGTGCAACAGAGCCTGAAGACCGAACAGGGGTTTTGATGTGTTCATAAAGTGAGCAAGATTATTTTTATGTAGTTAGAGCAACTAGTGCTATTTTATGATGCAAGAAATGTATTTATTCTCCTGCAGGCTGATGAACACCTACAGTAAAGAAAGGCTTCTCTGGGTAATTTAAATCTTGCATGAATGGACAATCATTTTATGATCATTATTGATATGTTTGTGGAGTATCCAAATAAAATCTACATGATTTCATTCTGAACTGGCTAACACTGGACAGTTAAAAATAACGCTATCATTCTGCACAGCATATGCTGCTGAATGACCCTGAGCCCTGCAGCAAAGATACTCCCTTCTTGCAATTTCTAAGGCTCGTGAACACCACAGCAATCTCCGTTTTTAAGGAACAAATCTAATAAGCATCGGGCTGTGTGTGAAGGATCAGTACACCCGCTACCCAGAGCAGAAAAATCTGGCTAATGAAGGGTCAAAGTTTCCGGAGCACAAATTGGTCGAAAGGTCAGATAAAGAAGCAGAAACAGGAGCAGAAGAGCGTAATGATCACAAAGTTGCGAGCATAAATGATGCCACGGATGAACTTTAATAAAAATTTGATTCTGCTTACTTCATTGACACTGAAATAAGATCCGTAAGAAAAATATAAGTGTCATTATGCCCACCCAGAACAGCTGATTCTTCTTGTACCTTTTTCGCAGTACTTGTGATGAAGTTTAGTAAAGGACTTAGATTGTTACAATTGCTGACAGCTTTCAGATAATCCATTTGGTTGGTATTTTAAAGAGTCCCAATCATGAAAATTCAGATTTAATTGCAAGATATGTCTAAGCTGAGATTTGACAGAGGGATAAGTCCCGCTGGGTTATTCAGGTGGCACTTGGTAATGTAAACTGCTGATTGCAAGAAGCAGCATTTGAGTTACCAGGATATCAAGTGCTGAAGCTTTCTACCTCCATTTTTAATGAATGAATCATTCCAGCTAATAGCCTGCCTGCCTCTCTTGCTATTAAGAATTGGATGCATTTTATTTTATACGCTGCAGCATTAAATCAGAACGATGACTGATTAGCGTGAGACCGTAAGTATCACCCTGAAGTTTACTGCTTTTGACTGGAGAGGCAGTCAAATGACTTGGCATTGCTTTGGCCTTCTGCCATGAAAGCCTCTATTTCTTCAACAGTACGTGGGACGCACGTTAGCAGCTCCATTCCACTGGCTGTCACTGCAATGTCGTCCTCGATCCGAACCTGTTACAGAGAACACGCGGTTACCAAGGTATTCCAGCTGGGGATGAGAAGCACATCAGGCAGCGACAGCAGCAAGAGCACAAGGTGTGTTTCAGTCTGTGGTGTTGATGCAACACCAAGCAGAGCAACATCCTGCAAGCACCGGAATTGCCCGTCACCACCAGCACCGTGGCGTAGAGCTCTGTAGGGTCCAATCCCCCTTGGGCCACCAGCCCCTGCCACCCTCTTGGGATCACACAAGCTCCATGGTGACCCCCGGCAGAGCAGCCCCGCAGGAGGTGGTGGCCCTGCAGGTGACTCAGGTGGTGCCTCTGCTACGTCGGGTGCACCAGGGACAGGCTGAGCGAGATGCTGCATCAGTGAGCTCATGCTGTGTAATTACACAGGGCCAATAAATCTCAAACCCCTGACATCAGGAGCAGCAAAAAGAACATTGTCCCCTGAATTTTCCTCCAGCCTTGCTGGTGCATGGCTTGCTAGGGACAGGTTCAACAGCAGTGCCTCCTGATGCCTGAAGTGCCTGTTCTCGAAGCGGTCCTGTTGCTGAGCTGCATTTAGCTGCTCTTTGCACTTAAACATCACACTCTCTTTTCCCTAAACACTATAAACTTTCAAAGGAGGAACTGCAACATGAAACAGCTTGTACCTGATATTCAAAACATTGAATTCTGAGCTGATGAGGAAGTCCTAAGCAGGTCAGACATTCCTTTTAAAATACAATCACTACATTTCAAATCATGCAAGGAAAAAGCAGATCCTCTCAGTTTTCCAGCTCTTGTTCTGTTAAAATGAAAAGTATGCTCCATTTCTGTTTGACTCTAATCTCTTCTTACCAGTAAATATGCCTACCCAGTCATTTCCCGTTATCTTATCAGAAAAATGTCAGTAAGTCGCTAGGCTGCAATAAAAGCAATTTTAGTAAGGTGTAAATCCAAGAGAACACAAACTCTGGGGACTCCCACCTTACAGTTGCTTTAATTGTTTCTGACCTCTTGACATTTTCAACTAAAAATAAAGCTGGTTAACATTTGTACTTCTGATTGCAAAATAATCCATTTGTTCAAACAAAATGAGTCATCCAGTCCTTATTAAACTGTTTAATCATGTCTTTGCCAGATTATTTCTTTTACTTGGTATCAAGTTAAGTGTATTATAAAGCAGAATTAAATAAACAAACTCCATTGAGTTCACACATTTGATTTGGACAGCTGTAAATTTAAAAGCCGTGAGGCTCTTTACACTCAATGTGCCTGAAAGGCCAGTGTCTTGCTGCAGAAGAGGAAATCAGCAACACACTGAACGACTCTATGCACTTGAACAGATTTTGCCAGGGTGGATTTTTTGATTCATTGCTTCAAATTTGGCCAGCTGAGCAAAAAATAACCCAAGGATTCAGCAGGTCAGTCACGTTGCATCTAGAGGTGAATAGTGCCCTCTGCCTCGCAGCAGCCCCCAGCATCTGTCCTGCCAGGTCTTGGGCCCAGGTGCAGCCTGCCTGGGTGGACCAGCTCCTGCCAAAAACCTGCCGGTACCAGGTGAGCCCTGCAAAAGTGCCAGAATCCAGGGGAAAGATCTGGCGACATGGTAAAAGCCAAAGCATCACGTTGGCAAGCACACCAGTGTAAATGGAGCTGGGCACAGAGTTGATGTGGAAAGTAAAAATGTTAGTGCAAAAAGTAAGTCTGAGAGCAGAGGCGAGGCCAGCCAAAGCTAGAGCTGACTCTGCCTATGGAGAAAGCCTCTTTCCGAGCACCACCGGCTTCACAAACCTTCACCTGCTTGAGCTGACATTCCCCAGCGTATCTGCTACAGAGAAATATCAGCCACAATTCATCTCCTTAATCAGTAAGATTAGAAAAAAAAAAAAAGAAAAAAATTGTTGGTGTTTTCCAGTTCAGTGTTTCACGCCTTCACCAATACCTCGGCACTCTTTGAGAGGATGGACTGACTTTGAAAGCAGAGCAGATGAAAGCCAGACTAGGAGGGAGGGGGAAGAACAAGTGGGACAAGGTGTCTGTCGATGCTGTGCCCTATCTAGGCCACAGGAAAAAATCAGGATGGGGAAGGAGCTGGAAAATGGAGCTAGAGTGATGAAAGGAGCCGGGGGAAGGAAGATACTGTGAGGTGAGACGGGATTGACAAATAATGAGATATGTGGCTGGCTAAGGAGTCCAGGAAGGGAGGTCCTGACAGAGGTGAGAAGCGAGACACCCTGAATGAGGAGAGCGCAGGGGGTGCTGGAGCCACCTAAGCCGGGGAACTGAAACGGGAGAGGATGGGGAAACCCATTCAGTTCGGAGTGCCACACACCGCAACTCATTGTACAGGAGAAACATTGTTAGGAGATCATATATAATCAATCTACAGCTGTGGATTGCTCTGAAAAGCACAAGGGCCAGCACTGTTGCACCAGCCTGCTCACCATCGGCAACTCCAAACGGTCTTTGGGATGTGGCTGGAGATGCACAGACCCACCGCTCCCATGGGGCCTCACCCATCACTCCTAGGAAAGCTCCAGCTCTTTCTCCAGGATCTAACCATTTCTCTGCCTGGATGAATCTCACCTGAAATGGGTGCTTGCCATAACAGAGAAGACAGACTTCTCACTCTCAGTGGACATTTTTCTTTTGCCTAAAAGCAACACAAGTGCAGAGGAACACAGGTTCTCAAGGGGAGAAAATTTTTGCATTTGCTCTTTTCCTTCACGCCCTCCATGCTTCACCCTGAGTTTAAACTCGGCAGCAGCAAGAAGCAGCTTCAGAGGACCTGCAAAACCTTCCCTACAGGAGAGCTCGGCATTTGGTCTTGTCTTCTGTCCAAATGGACAAAAGATGCTGTATCTGCCTGGCAAGGCTCACTGGCTTGGGACTGCCTTTCCCAGTGGGGGACAGTGGTTATGAAACTTGCTCTCAGAGCTGTCCCTGTTTGCAGGCTCTTTGTTCAACAGTGCTGCTTGTTTCAGGGCTACAGAGTGGTTTGGAATCAGACACGGCTTAAAGGAACAGCAAACCGAGGTGTGAGGTTCGCTGCACCAGCAGCTTTCAGGGCGCTCTGCAAACACCCCAGGGGAGGCTTTGTTTTTTCAGTGTGAAATGGCATGCTTCAAAAAGCACTCCTGCAA